TCAATTATGGAGGAAAGTGAAAGCTACATATGAGAGAATATGTGATCTCAATTCGTATAATTAGTCCAATTATTCTTTTATTGAACACTCTCAATAATTATGTGAGCTATTTGGGGTATAATATAATTTACTCAATTACATTTATATATTTTGAAGTGGATGATATATATCTTGATTCTCGGATCTAAAATAATTGTGTTTAAGTGGGAGACGACACTTGCTTATATTCTCTCTTTCTCTTTTTGGTGACTATTATTCCTAAAGATAGGTCCCAAAACCTAGCCCATTTTTTTCAAGATCTTCACATTGTTGAAAACTTTTTTTTCATATATATGTTTTCATATATTTCTGTGAATCTTCTTTTATATATTATTCTGCCAATAAGAAGATGTGATTCTATTTGGCAATACAAATATTTTATGTCTTTCTAGAAACACCACTTTACTAAAGTAATGAGTTCCATAATTCAAATCTAAGTGCTAGTCTCCTCTTTTTGAATTTGACTCTATCCTAATTACAAACCTGAATGTTGGAATCTACATTGGATTACCAATACTTTTATTTCTTGAGGATAACAGAGACACAAGTTTTGTTACCGGTAATTGAAAAACCGGTTATAATCACAACTCAATGGTTTGGATCGAGGATACCAATACAATATCTCTATAATATTAAAAGAGAAGTACATTTANGANAATGTCCAAAATTGATTCCAATATTANTCAAATTGCCATTGTTTTATAACTAAATTGATTAAATTAAAAAGGGTAATTTTGAACTAATGCAATGGCAATTTCAGTAATTTTGAGTACAATTTTGGCAATCTTTATGTTATGAATTAGTTGTATTTTCGTTTTTATTTTTGTGGCACATTAATGACATTTTTGTTATTTTAGGAAATTTTTGTAAAAATCAGCATTAATTCACAAATATTTAATTACCAATCAATTTTTTAAAAAATATTTAATATCCGTTTATATCAACATATAATCAATTTTAAGAATTAGATCCCCCATTCATCTTTGCTTGATGATATTTTTT